GTCACGTCACGCTTGATTTCTCTTTTGACATACTGTGAGATAACCTAGCCTAGAGCCAGGTGCATAAAATTTAACATGAAAGTAAAAATATTGAACCAATTTTAAAGTTAGATAATATTAAAAAATAAAATATCTTTAATTAACGGAGTCTCTAAATTAGAAAACATTTTGTTTTTCAATTTTGCAGTTTATACATTTCATTTTATACTTTCAACATATAGACTCTTAACAACAATATTAGGTTATACTTTTATTGCTAAATAACATGATATAACAGCCATTGTTGGAACGCAGTGTTATCAAAAGGCACTGACTTTTCTATATATTAGAAGTTGTTACATATGGAACCTCTTCTTTTCTATCTGGTTTTTCGCTAGATTCCGTCATTAAAAAGATGCGCACGCACGCACGTGCGTGTCTGCCTGTGATTTATATCTATAATTTGTAATATAAGAAACTACTTCTTTTCTCTGTGGTTTACGCTAACTTGCCTCATTAAAAAGATGCACACGCGCATGTGCACACGCACGTGGATAAGATAAATAATAATAATACCCAAGTGCACACCCTGAGGGTCCACTTAGTATGTATGCAAACTTTCAGGTTTCTAGATTTTTCCTTTAAAGCTATGGCGATCACAGACCCACAGTCAAACAGACACCCCTTATATTATTATAGATATACTAACGATTATACCTGGCTTCGCTCGGTTAATTAGGTTAATATATTCTAGGTAAAAGCCAGTGTGTGTTCCAAATAGAATAGTTCTATTACTGTCCGCCCATTACGATTTTAGTAAGGACTTTAACCTATGATTCCATACCTTGAAGATATCGTCTATGTAACCACAGGTCAAACAATCTGTCACTCTTAGTAAGCCACTCTTGCCAAGTATTACGTTCAAAATGATCCAGAAAAAGGACAGTACTTCAGTTAATACTCTTGATATGTATGAATGTTTATTTTCCAAATTTTAAACTTCTAGTATACTGCAAAGTACCAACTTAGCTCGATGATTTGAAACTACAGTCATTGGAGTTTTTAATCCTTCATCTTTGGGGATGGGGCTGTACAGCATTGGTAAATGGACACAGCTATACAACTTGGGGATATTGACATGGCTGTACAGCATGGTAAAATGGACACAGCTGTAAACCATGAGAATATGGAAGTAGCTGTACTGCATTGGCAAGTAGATTCAGCTGTGCAGCATAGAGAAATGGCTAGCGAAAGTACCCAGCTTCACTCGGGTTATTAGATTGAAAGTGTGTGTATTTTTGCACAAAATATAACCTATATACTTTTGTTGCTAAGCAACATGATATAAAAGCCATCCCATAATAGTTTTTTTGCTAAGCGACGATATATACTTTTGATCATTACCAAAAATAGGAACGTGAAAGCGTTCTCGAGAGTATAACATCCCATTTTCTGCATCTTTGTTGGTCAAGCTTGATTTTGCAAAATTTATTTACTTTAATTAGCTATGAAATGTGAGGTTAGGGTATACTATGGGGTGGGAGTGGTAATACTTGCCACGTCATTTTTCATTGGCTATATGCTAGTAATAGTTAAAAAAAACTAGAACATCCCATAATAGTTTAAAAAAACAATATAACGTTCTATACTTTTAAAAATAAATCCGTTATTGGGTTAATTTACATTATTAATACAAAACTAAAATTAATTAGAAATTACCTCCCATCCTAGGGCTTAGTCCCTGTGCTGGGGGAGATCTCATTATTACTACATACGAACATAGATATTTCATACATTAAACAAAAGAAAACAAAATGATAAAATTAATATAATTAGGCTTCCCTATTAAATAAATACTTAACAATAGATTCTGTTTAAATTGAATTGCACTAAATTATTATAAGATTTTAGAGTGTACTCTTTACTATTCCTATAATTTATTTAATTTAGGCTTAGTCTTTTGTTTCCATTGATTGTTATTTACCATAATTATTTATGTACTTATCTCCAATTATTTATCCACCTCTTGTTTTTAATTCAAATCAATAAAATACTTTTTAAACTGTTTTTTAATTGTTGTGATTTATTAATTATACGTATCTGTTCCAGAAGTGTATTGTTACATCTACTTACTCAAGAACGGGAATCAATTACAGTTAGTAATAGTAGTAAAACAAAAGATATTGTTTAAAAAAACTATACAAGGAGATACTGACGTTTATAATGATATTTAATACAAACACAATTTTATAAATTATGTTTGAAAGGCTTATTGCATTATGTAGATTATAGCACTTTGAAAGTATAAGTAAAATAATTGTAGTTCAATATAATCAAATGACACGGACATCACGTTTCTGCTTTCATGTTTTAATCAACAATACGCGAACCTACCAACAGTTATTATTTTGTTATCGAGTGACACGTGTAATTCTTGCCGCTTACCATTAATTAGCGTCGCTGCCATAAAAAGGATGCGCATTAAACATTTCACATTCTAGAAAGTTTTCACTAATAACTTAAGATTCAACACTTTAAATATTTGCAACATAAACTTATAAAATAAGCTTAACTAAATAACTTACAATACATGACCAGATAGTCTGAGTAATATGTATTATGACTAAACTCCTTGGTAAGCCAGTGTAGAAATAGATGTATTTGGTAAATAAGTAAAATAATGTAAAAAGTACTTTCCTCCTTTTTTTACTGATTTTTCTCGTTTATTTGAATTTTGTTTCAGTGCTGCATCATGTAATATCTGGTTCTTCCATATATTGTAGTACTAGATCTTATAATCTTAAATGAACCATCACGTGGATCCACTTGCGAACATAAACGAAACGGTTCTTTGTTTTCAACTTTACTGCTCTACTGATAGTATTAGTATGTGTTATTTCATGTCTTATTGCCTAGTGGCTCAGATCCACTTTTTTTTTTTTAAGTTTATTTTATACCTTAACTCAAGCTTGCATTTCTTCTATAAGATTTATTCCCCAGTGGTACAGCGGTATATCTGCGGACTTACAACGCTAGAAACCGGGTTTCGATACCCCTGGTGGGCAGAGTACAGATAGCTCATTGTGTAGCTTTGTGATTCACTTCAAACAAACAATAAGATTTTATTTAATTAATATTACAAAAAAAACAGTACCCACTCTATATAGAGCTGTCACAAATTTTACAAATGATACCGTAAAAGTAAATTTTGTTTCGGTATGTGTTTAATCTGTGAGGAAAGTTTTTTCAAATGACTTTAATATAAGTAAAATACACAAAACATAGCTATCGGTTTAATATATTTTTATTTGTTGAAAAATAATCAAAAGTATGTACCTAACGTTTACTCTAAACTTAGTTTTATACAAAGCTAAATATTTTATACTTTTTTCTTCAACTGTAGAGACATGTTTCTTAATACGTTTCCAAATGTAACGCAACAGATTCAAACATTTTGTAACTTTTCACTTCAGCACCTGTGGTAACCAACCTTCACAAAACAAAAAAGAAAACGACTGCTGATGAATGCATTTTCAGTATAATTTTTTAAATTGTATTTTCACTATATTTTATAGCTCTGAAATCAACAACCACTTACTGCATCATTGTTGGGTCTTGTTTTATTTTATTGAATATCGCGCAAATCTACTCGGGTGTCCCTTATTTTGAAGTGATAAACTAATCAACAACATCAACCATAAATAAAATGTCGAATATTATTTTTATTGATTAAGAAATGTTAAAATCATATTGAAAAGTTATGATACTAGATGGTGATTAAGTGTTTCAAGATCTGCTCTTCATATGTTATAATCTATATTTTTCTCGATTCTTTGTTTTATTTCGCATAAAGATATGAATGTCGTTCAAATCTTCATCCACCATTCTTTTGTGTGTGTGTGTGTGAATAAATGTCTATCACGGAAAAAATTATAAAAGTACATAAAACCTACAGTACCTTGTAACGACAAAAACAACGAAACATTTCAAAAGATTAATTCTAGAGATATATAAAGTGAAAAAAAGATAACAACGTCAATATACGTATATTAATGGATTTTTCATAATATTATCAACTCTTCGGATATAAAAATGGTTAGATTAATGAGCTTATTAATTTATGATATCTCTTTGTTGGTTCAAAAGTTTAACATAACTTTCTCAATAACATAACTAGTATTATCACCTATAGTTTATTTTTTTTAATTTGCTTAGTAAAGCAGTCTTAAGGAAATTCATAATGTTAGCTTAAATCATTTGTAAGATATTTCGTTTTGTATTGAAATACGAGACTAAATGAATACATATTTTAATCGTAAAGGGATTGGATTTCACGCGGTGGACATAGTAATTAGCCCAATGTAACTTTGCCCTAAAACAAAGCGATCCGTTGTTTTTTTAAGAGCATTCAGTAAATTCCTTTTTGAATCTAAACAAAAACGGAAGACAAACATTTACAATGATATTTTAGTGGATAAATCTTTAACATTAATTTCTAAACACAGTATTGTGTACTGATAGTTTAGTTTTACGAATTTAATAATATCATTCTTGCTTCTACTATTTAACTGATAATGTTTTAATGCTTTCTTGGGTGATTAAAATATCATTACACGATAATCCCTACTTACGTTATACCACTTTCTCATTAACATAATCAGGGCTAGTACTGATACGTGAGGTAGGTCAATGGTGCTTACTATATATATTTAGGGTCAAAAGAGTGAATAAATCGCATTTCAGAAATACTGATAACCCAGCGATTTTGAAAAATAGACCTTCTTCCTATCAAAGCTTGGCTATTTGGTTTTTGTGAGTTCTGGTATTTCTGGTATTAAAGAACAATGCTATACAATGTGCTATCTGCATTCTGCCTGTGTGCTGTTCGGGTATTAAAACCTGATTTTTAGCGCCTTAAGCACATCGTTTTTGTTAAATAGATAAAAATAAATACAATACTCATTCTTATTTTGCATTGGTTGTGTTAAAGTCTTTCGATATTTTTTTTCTTTTCTTTATAGCTACAGTAAACAATCGAAGCAAATCCCTCCCAATTGCTTCTTCTGATTCGAATCTGTCACTTTACAGAATTCATAAACAATGTGTTGTACCACCATCACTAAGCAGCTTGAAAACAGAGGGCGCCAGCAGACAGAAGGATACTCGATCGTCCAACACGTCCAAGTTTTTACAAGAGATGCAAACTCATAGCAAACGCTATGTTGGCGAGAAGGTTGCGAAGGTAAACATTATTTGACGCCATTTTTTTATCCACTCAGTACATGCATGCCCTTCAAGCCAGGAAAATATATGTTTGTATCGTTTGTTCCATATGTTTATACAGTTAATTATGTACTTTCCATGTCGTTACATCTAAACTGTAAATTTAAGGCCTTTAATAAATTGTGTATATATTTTGTTAATTAAAATCATGTCCATTGAAGTTAAGTACAAACACTAACTAAAACTTACTACACAGAAGCTCATTAAAACGGATTTAATCCGCTAAGTATTGGTGTTTCGGGTTTATATTACAGAATTGTCTAAAGATTAGTTGTTCCAGTGCAGTATAGTAATTACTTTTAATCTACATTTGTCTCAAATTAATCTGGGACGATATAGAAGCAGTAAATAAAACTAATATACAGAATGACCAAAGATCAATAAAGTTTTATGTTGCAGCTCAAATGTTACTCGCAAAGAAAAAAAAATATGTGTAAAGCAACTACCTTTAATACCACGCTCTATGATACCTATGAAACGTTCATGATGACAAACGATTTAAGTGACAGCTATGTAAAGTATTTGAAAACGCCTTTTATAACATAGTGTGAGCTGAGAGTGTCTGTTTAGCAGCTTACTAGTGCATGTTGACTAACGGCTTAGGTTTGTTGTAAAATTTTTGGTCAATCTTCTGTGAAAGTCTTAGTGAAATTAAAATTAATCTAATCAAAAATACCTTAGGTGTGAAAAAGGTGCGGCCACAAAAGAATTCAGCGTGCATCTTAAAGGAGTGAAATCAAAATTGGCGGCCAAACTGGTAGCTATACTTATATCATTGATTACAGTTTTACAGAAAATATCCATTCATTAGTTAGCCAGGCCGCGTTTTTTGTTCAACTTGGAGCATGATGATGGTTAAAATAAAATACGCGGCCCCTGTCTAATGAATGAATATTTGTTGTAAAATTCCTATGAAAGCTCTAAGTGTAGCTATCACTTTGGCCGCCAATTTTTATTTAATTGCTTAAGCTAATATCTTTTTTGATGCTAATCGCTCTTTAATGAGGATAATTTCATAAAATTTAGTAAATTTGTACTGAACAGTAATAACCGTCCACCCCTATGATTAGCTGGAAAACGTGAGCTAGAAACTGCTAATCTAGTTTTCTTGGCCTGACCAATACTTATGTATCTGCACGTGCTTTCATCTTATATTTTTACTGGTTTAAGTTATCCGTCTTTAATCCAAATTACAAAAAACTAAAAACGGTCCACTTTAGTATTCTAAGTTGGAATTTATTCAGGGAATGGTATATGATGCGAAAGAAACCCGGTAGTCACAAAATAACATTCGTTTAGACAGTTGTTGGTGATTCTAATGATGGTGTAGATTTCAACGTTACTGTTATTTTATTCGACTGCAGAGTTGTCTAGTGGTTGATCCAATATATCCCTGGTTGCACCTCAGGCACGTGAACACGTATACCACTAGCGTGGATGTTGTTTGTCTTGAAAGCTGTAACAACGTCCATTGAATATCTCAGTTGTGAACATGTAAAGAAAGAACAGAACATGAACGTCGATATATAACTATAGTATATACTCAAACCTATATTATGTGCATCTACTTCAGTTTGTATACGTTATAAAAATTATTCGAGATGTTCTTATCGTAAAATTTTACTCACGAAAATACCAATATTTGTACTTGCCATGTTTATTTAGGAACTTCACCAGAAAAATACTAGGCTGTTCACAGGGAATCAGTTATCGTCAAGATACATTTATCCACTGATTGGTCAGCGGTAAGTTTCTGGACCTACAACGTTAAAATCCGGGATTCGATTCCCCGCGGTGGACAGAGAACAGATAGCTCATTGCATAGCTTTGCGCTAAAAAACTACAATAAAACTCTTAACTAGGAAACTATCACGTTTTTAAAAAGTTAATAAGAAAAAAAACATTAAAGCTAGAAAGAAGACTGAAATTAGCTTTTAAAAGGTAACTTTATCGATTGACAATTATTGCGTTTTATAACATAACTGTTTACCCCATACGAAATTTACACAAGTAAATAATTGTAAATAGTTCAGTAAAATTATATTTTTGATGTTTTGATATTTTATTTCAATTAGATTACAGCTGACACAAAAGTTTTACCTACTACAGGATTCTGGATTAGTTATAATAACTCGTTTTACAATATTTAGACACTTTAAATTATTACGGATCTCCTTTATTTATACATTTTGCTTCACCGCACAAATACAGGTCTGACCGATTTGCTGTGGGTTTTAACGTATCAAATTTTCAGTAATCCTACTGCTGTTTTACCTGGGAATATACTGAAAAAGTGTATTTAGTTTTTAAGTGTTTACAGTAAGATTAATGCTTTTAATAACATCGTATTCAAACTACAAGTTTCCTTAAAAAGGCTAAGTATTCAAAAGTTATTTTTCCATATATTTTAAAGTAACGTTCTTCTCCTGAAAGTGTGATTTTTATTTTTTCATGGTAGTAAAGGTTTGATATATATTAACAACTAGTTGGAGTACCCGTCCTCTGGATGGAAGTTATGTAAATTCGAGATTAATGATAAGTTAATGAAAATTTGCTTCCTTTATATGTAATTGTATGTATCTGTATGTATCTCCGCATGGACTCAACAAACCTGCATTTCCAAATTTAGTGAAGATCCATCCATCAACAGGAGGCGAAGTAATAGTAAAAAACGCTCATAAAAACCGCAAAACGTAAAATGCAGAACTGAAAATGTGTATGTATCTCTCCATGGACCCGATGAACCTCCATATCCAAATTGGTGAATATTCATCTACAGGGAGCGAAGTAGTCGTGAAAAACGCCCATTAAAACAACCCCAAACGCAAAATGCAAAACTTAAAATTTCTATGTACCCCCGCATGGACCTAATGAACCTCCACACCAATTTTGGTGAAGATCCATCCATACCCTGCGAAGTAGTTACATGGACATACAACAGACAGTACTATTATATTTATGTAGATAATCTAATTCAAACGAGATCTTTAATTTATCTCTCGAAGTTAAGTATACAACATACTAATAACACACACTTTGAAGCACATTATCCGGATCTAAGTATTTTCAAAGCCTTCAAATTTAATAAATGACATAAATTTAACTTTCAGATTTTTATTCTTCCTTATCATATCAGTTTTTCCATTCCTACTTGTTTAAAAACCTAACAGTGTCACAGTTAAAACGATTTGCTCTAGTTTGTTTCCTGCTTTTTAAGCACAAATCTACACAATGGGCTACTTGTGTTATGCCAACCACAGGTATCAAAACCCGTACTGGGGGCTTAAATAGTTAATCATTATTAAAGGAAGGATTATAATCTAATGGTTTCAGTGCAAAGAAATATATGAAATTTTAGATTTTCTATGATCGATATCATTCTTTATTAAACAAATGTTTGGCCTCTTTTATTAAGTACTTTATTCTTCAAGTATAAAAATGTTTTAAATTTGTTTATTAATTTTATAAAAAACGTCAACAATTCAAGATCATGTTTTTATATACTAATAATACCATACTTTTTAGATATTAATATCATTGGACAGACAGTGTTGGTAAGAGTAATCAGGCCTGGATTTTATTACCTGGGTAGTCCGTCGGTGGCACAGCGGTAAAACTAATGAGTTACAACACTAAAATCCTGGATCCGATTCCACACGGTGGACACATCACATAGTGCAAGGTGGCTTTCTATAAAACAAACAATCATATCAAGTAACGAGGATTTAATTAGTTAATTAGACTTGTATTTAATACATGGAATATATGGGTAGAGCTAATTTAGTAATATATTTTACTTACCCTGCATTCACGTTTGCATTAATTGTGGCTTTAGGGGGTGGAGGTTGTTATCCAGTTATATAGGAGGGTAATATATTTTTGTTATGTTATATTATTCTGCAAACGTTTTATATTTTATCGTTAGTGGTCGGGGTATTATCTAATTTATATTATAAGGGCGAATATTTAAAGCTTTTTTATTTCTGAATTTTATAATTTGGTGCTGTGAGGGGAAAGAGTAGCTTTGGACATCATGGTTTTAAGCATCCATGCCTTGCCCCTTTGTTTATATTGGCCTTTTTTTTCTTACATAACAGTGCTTCACACGCGACTTAGACGCTAAATAAAAATATTATATCCTCAACCCCTCTTTATTTTCTCCATTTATATTTCTTAATTCTATAACTTTCGCAGTGGTGTAATTTGTGTTTTTATTTTCAATAGACAAACCTAATACCGACACATTCTCTGCATATTTCATGCACATATTCGTATAGAAAACTTATAATCATTAAACATCGTGGTTATAAAACTCACTGATCTCTGGTCATTAAACATCCATATAGCAAACAGGTCGTAATCCTTAAACACTGTGGTCATAAAACTCACTGGTCGCTAGTCATTAATCATCTACACAGCAAACTGTACCTCAAAGTTTTTGAAGTCAACTGACTCCATCTTCAGAGAGGTGAAATGGAATTTTATGGTAAATGGTTTATGAAAATAAGCAGATACAATAAGCACTACATAAATCACATCTACACTTCGACAGATACACATTTTTACATGTAGAAACTAGTAAAAGGACATTTATCTAGATCTGGCGTGTTTGTGCTATTTTAAATTATTTAAGCGTTTCGAAACTGTAAGGCTTAAGTTAAAGTAAAGCTTTCAGATTATACTTGTCTAAGACTAGGCATCTTAGCCCACATGCACATAAAATGCAGCTACGATTATAGATATTCCAATTTTGATCAATACATAAAAATATTTTTTTGTCGAAGTTACGTTTTCTGGATTCGTACGACTTAAATTTCCTCGGTTATTTTTACATGTGCGCGTGTGTGTGTATGTTTGTATGGAGTCTAAGCTAGGTTTTGCGTGGTCTAGTGCTTAGGGTGTTCGAGGGTTTATTGACTTGAACCCAACTACTGAATATACGCACTTCACCCTTCACTG